GTTAATAACTTTTCCAAGTTGTATAATGTACAATTACAACATCAGATTGTCACACGTACAAAGCAAGCTGCTGCCGATGTAAAAAGGCGCCCTAGCTAAAAAGAACGTGCATGGCGTTGGTTCCGTTCCTGTCTTGTGAATTTTGATCGATCACGTTCAATTCCTTAAGCGGTTATCCACTTATCCCCCACGACATGCCTCATTGTTTTCAGGCCATCCCCTGGATTATTGAAGAACTTTTGTTGAAGTATTTATCTCACACATGAAAACTTTAAAACAATAAAACACTAAGACTTTGAGTAACTCCTCCTATTAGGTTGACCTTTTAGGATGGAACTCCGGGTCTTAACATGGTATCAGAGCCAAGTCCGGTTGTGGTTTGAAAACTTGTTTAGCACCCATAATTAAGGGTAGCTTGTTAATGGTCTGTTTGGCCCATTTATACACCCCGATATTGTTCAGCCCGGTTCGGGCTGAGAGGGTATGTTGAAGTATTTATCCCACACCGGAAAACTTTAAAACAATAAAACACTCTATAAGACTTTGAGTTACTCCTCCTATCAGGTTGACCTTTTAGGATGGAACTCCGGATCTTAACAACTTTAAATACACACGAATTTTAGATTAATGCGTCTCAACCCTATCCTTGTTTTGCTTTTCAAGTGTAGGTTACGTTGCTTTGCTACCGCTTTTGCAAGTCCTTTAGTTTGATGAGCTGAGATTATACAAATCTCATCAAAATTTTGACCTTTTGTAATCCTACAATAAATTCGGCGTGTTAGCTATTAGCAGATTTTCTAGAGTGAAGATTTTTTATTAGATTAATTACCTCCGTGTGCAAGGACTAAAATGAATGAACCTGTAGGATCATACAAAATTATATTTAATGTACGAAGTATAATTTTAATAAAATGAACATCAGAATATGGGTAACAACTAGTTTTTATCTCTACCAACTTTAGGCAGTTTGAGTTAAAAAAAATTGTCTTCAATTTTACTTTTTCTCCATCTATATATTATTATACAATTGAAAGTCACATTGACATGTGTCATTCTATAATGTACCATTGCCATGTGTCACTCTTTTGGCTACTCTTAACCACATGTCACTTTCCGTTTCATATATATAACCATTCTTAGAGCATCTCCGGCGGTTGGCTAATTGCCCTCATACCTTCACTAGCCACGTAAACATTTGTAGCAAAATTGAAATATATTCCAGTGGTTAGCTATAATCTTTTTCTCTTCATTTATTATTTATAATGTTATATTTAATATTCTCCTTTCTCAAGCTAGTAGCTCATTTGGGCTAATTAGTTTCCTCAAGCAAAAGGAAGAGCAATGCTCCAATAGTAAGCTAGTAGCTTTAAAATTGCAAGCGAGTCCCCAGATGCAACCATTGGAGATGCTCTTATACGATAGTATATTAGTATTAATGATTATTCCTCATATATTTGGAAAGTTGGGCATAGTACATTTGTTACGTTTCCTATTTAGATGATTAATGCTCATTTTTTATTTAGAAAGTTAAGTCACAATTATACTCTATATTACTTCGTATTATATATAGCTGCTTATAATAATAATTATTATGTACGAAGTGTACTATCACCCTCCACGTACGTACTAACTTAATTTAGTTTTGTATGAGTAATAACTTATTAATTAATAGTGTACGTTTCGTTTTTTTTAAATAGTTTTAACTATTACTCCTTAAAATTTATCTTTTAAGTTTGAAATGTCTACTTCAGAGTATATTTTTATGTTAATTTATGTATGATTTTTCTCATTTAATATATTATATTAGACTGAAAAAGCCTCTAAATATGATCATATTAACACAAGAAACTAATATTATTTTACGATTAGTTTCTTTAAATGACTATAACTGTATTCCAAATCTACATCATTGTGACTATAAAATTGGCGGAGAAGTTACTCCAAAAGTGTACTCCAATATTTCGTGCCTTTTACTTCAGCTTATGGTAGGGATTTCGAAATGTAAGTTGTAATTGATAAATTATTGATAATTTGTTTTTTTAATTAAAACTTACTAAGACTAAATATATTGAATTTACTTTAATAATTGTAAGATATAATTGAAATCCTAATAAAGTATCGGACTGAAAAGGAGACTGAAAAGGATGACATCAAGAATAAGATCAGAAATTACATTATATCGCAAACTCACGAGTTATGTTTCTTCTAATTTCATATTTAAAAGTCATTTTTTAAAGTTATTCTTCTTCCCAAGGTTAAGTGTTTAGAATTAAACTATACGGGATTATCATTACAGTGCAGGAAAAAACTAAGAATACATTGAATATCTTAATTAGAATTATACTATACGGGATTATCATTAGAGTACAGGAAAAAATGTATGATGATAAATAGTCAAAAATTACAATATAGTGAATTTGACTTAATTAAGTTTAACCAAAATCAAAGAATATTATTTCACAAAATGTAATGATGTGTTCAAAATTTTGCAACCAGACTAAAATTAATATTTTTGAATTTGAAGTGTTTTCATTTACAAGGGAAGAATAATAATTCATTTTAAAATTAAAGAGTTAATATTTTAACATAAAAATAAATCTTTATTTTAAAATATTTAATTTTTTTATTTTTCAAGTTTCGAAGTTTAAATTTATAATTTATTTTTTTGTTTGAAAATTATTATTTTAATTTATTTAAAGTCAACAAGGATAAATTTACTCCTTTATAAAAATATTGGGGTTATTTTTGCACCTTTTAGAAGTTTAATGATTTATGTGCAACATGTACTCCACATATACTTCAGGAGTATATTTGCACATTTCCCCTATTTAAAAGTATTACTACCTCTATCCAAAAAACATAGCCATTTTCAAAACTTTGATCAACTATATTTTTTTATTGGAAATTATTTATAATATAAAAATTATATGGAAATGTTCTTTATTAAAAGTACTTTCTTAAAAGTATAAAATTTATAACTTCCATAATAATATTATACGGAGCACTAATCAAAATCATGTTTCAAATTTTTTGGAATGACAAAGTTTTTTTTATGGAGGTAGCTAGTATATACAATGTCACAAATAATTTTGAATGACCACATTTTCCCTTATATATTGAAAATAAAACATACCATGCCATGTGTGGTTAATTACACGCTTTCGGTTGTAGGTGCAATATTATTTATTTTCATCTCAAGTTGTCACCTGGCTTCCTTATTAGACATCAAGAAATTCAGTAAAAGAGATTTTAGCTATAACCCCAATGAAATTCTCATTCTCAAAGACTATCAAGAGGTTTTGATCGACGAATATTTGTATATTCATATGGACTAAGTATATAAAAAAATATCTGTAATATTAAGAGTCTGTTTGGTAACCATATATGATTTTTAGCTTTTCAGGCTTATGAGCCAATTTTTTCACCAAACACGTAACTTTTGGTTTCACGCGCTGAATTGTGTAAATATAAGAAAAAGTAAGGTTGAAGTTACTTTTTTGGCTGTATTGGCTGAAGTTACTGTAGAGAACCATTTTAGCTATTTTTTCATATAATTTTTTCTTTATCTTATTAATAATATTTTTTTAAAATATTTTACTTTCCTCAAATCAACATAATCAACCAATACAGTCACTTCAGACAGAACTTCATAAATTTCAAGAGAATCAACCAATACAGCCGATTAAGGTGTTACCAAACGGGCACTAAGATGAGACACTAGGACTAACAAATTTAAGGCTACTGAAAGTATAAGAATATTATCATGCAGTCATTACTCGATATTTTTTTAGACCTTTGAGACTAAGAAACTTAAGGCCATAGAAAGTGTAAAACATTTCACCCACACAATATATTTGACAAAATTGCGTGTTTATGTGAAAAAAAGTTTATATTAATAAATTTATCCTTAATTTACAAATTTTATTCTCCCGTGCATCGCACGGGTGGAATACTAGTATTAACACATTTACTGCGAGCGGCCAAAGGTTAATTTCGGCGAACCACGTACCAAATTAGACCAGTGCCGATCCTACCTAAACTCGAGCCTGAGTCGAGTTTCATAAATTTGCCCTATACATTTGTTAGTTATTTTAATATACCCGATCGCATGAGCGTGTGGGAAAACTAGTCAAAACACAAACATGAATGTAATTGTATTTTGTTAGTTATTTTAATTATTTTATTGCATATTACTAAATACTAATGCAAAATTCTTATATGATAGGTGGATCTGGATATGGAGCAAAGCAAAAGGCAAGGAGACGTAGAAGATGAATTGGTGTGAAAGTAGTTATAGCTTCAAATAATTGAAGGATGTAGACTCATTGTGGATATGTTAGTGTGAGAAAGCACCTTATGAAATTGCTTTGCTCAAGATTTGAATACTTCTATTTATATATGAGCCCAACATTTGTGTTGAATGAAATTTATTGTTTTAGTTTTATTGGATACCAAAAGTGTTATATGATGAGTATAAGTATAAATGTAAAGATATAACTAATGCATAATGGTTATTACTTTATTCGCATTGTTTTAGCTACAAGTTGTGATTGTCTTTAAAACATTCACAACAAGAAATGCACACTAGATTAAGGTTGCTTCTAATTATATTTTGAGACTATAATTTAATAGCCTCAAATTATGTTTTGGGACAATAATATGGTTGCCTCAAATAATGTTTTGGGACAAGTTAATATGGTTGCCTCAAATAACGTTTTGGGACAAGTTAATATGGTTGCCTCAAATGATGTTTTGGGACAAGAATGTATGATTGCCTCTAAACGGGTATCGTTTAGAGTCATATTCCTAGTTGCCTCTAAAAGTACATTTAGAGACAACTATCTTTTAGCGACGGATTAATTAGAGGCACCTTAGAGGCAACCAATAAATTGTCTCTAATAAGAATTAGAGGCTACTTCCCTGTATATATATAGAGGCAACTTTATCCTGCCTCTACAAACCATTTTTCTTGTAGTGTAAGAAAAGTCAAATTTGCAACTCTTTTTGAGACGGAGGTAGTATATGCTTTTCTACCACTTTTGCAAGTCCTTTATTAATTAGTCCTATATATGCAATGGGATTATACATAAAAATCTCATCCAAATTTTTTTCCTTTTGTATTCCTTTAATTAGTCTGTTTGCAAGGACTGAAATGAATGAATCTGTAGTATCATTAAAAAAAATTGTATTTAATGTATATTGTTAATGGTGAACATCGAAAATTTTCATAGTCAAACATAATCCGTAATCTACTTTTTTCGATCTTTTGATCTAAATCTTATCTGTTGAGTGCAGCTGTATGTTTTGAGTAGTTTCTACCAATAAAATCCAAACTATACTAATCAATCTGCAGGTAATTTGGCGTGCTAGCTTAACACTTTTGATGAAAGAATGACAGAGATGAAGGTCCATCTTCAACATCACCAATGAAGAACGACCTTTCTTAATTTGGTTCCTCCCAATCATAATCCTGAACACCTGCAGCACGCTGCAGACACCTTTGTACAAAGAGGCTTGTTCCTCGCCCATCTTCTTATGACATGTTTGGCCTTCGTTGCTTCTGGAAATCTTCCAAATGCCAGTATGGTCCTTGACCAAATGTCCCAACTTGCCTCTCCCAGCGGCAATGCGATGCAAAGGGTCACTGCCTACTTCATCTCCGCCCTCGCCCACCGCATCATTAGGGTTTGGTCGGGGCTGTACCGAGCCTTCAACGCCACTGCCATAATACCCACCGTTGGATATGAAAAGGCCGTCCGGAAAATGTTCTTTGACCTTTGCCCTTTCCTGAGACTTTCTTATGTGATGACGAATGAGGCTATAATGGAAGCTAGCTATATACTACGTATATATGGAGGGGGGGAAGGTGGTCCATGTTGGATGTAAAACACATATACGAATGTATTGAAGTCTATACTAAGCAAAAACCATATGAACACATCAAGAACAACGTAGTGTTTTAACACACTCTTTTCATTCACTTTTTAAAGAGGAAAAACCCCAATGTTACTTTTGGGATGAAAAAACCTCTTACTCACTCCTTAACAAATATACATGCTGATCCTATCACTACATGAGTAATGCACGTAGAAGAAATAAACTGAAAAGAAAGAAACTTCCCCCCCACGTTCATACGTGCATGGGTGAAGGGGTGAGGGTTACAAATGCATGCGTGTAAAATAAAATGCAGCCTATACATGATGACTAGGATGACACATGGCCCTTTTATTTAGCTTTAGGATGATCAAGTTTACACCCTACATTCACCCCCTTAAACTTGATCACTCCTTTGTTGTCTGCACACCAATCTTCTCTTGTAATTCCATAAACCTCTGCCTTCCAAGGGGTTTTGTTAAGATATCAGCCAACTGAGTTTCAGTCTTGGTATATTCCAGGTTTAGCACTTCATTTTCAACACACTCACGTATAAAATGAAACCTGGTATCTATGTGTTTACTCCTTTCATGATGAACTGGGTTTCTAGCAAGGGCAATAGCGGACTTGTTGTCCACCTTAAGAACTGGACTCATATACTTCTTGCCCAACAAGCTTTCCATTAATTTTGTGAGCCATATTGCTTGACAAGCTCCTCCAGTAGCAGAAATGTACTCAGCTTCACGGGACGATAGGGCAACCACTCTTTGTTTTTGTGAAACCCATGTAATTGGACTACTTCCCAAGAAAAATATGATTCCAGTTGTGCTCTTCCTATCATCAATATCCCCTGCAAGATCACTATCACTATAGCCAACAAGACACTCATTTCCTTGACCTCTCTTGTACACACAACCTTTGTTAACTGTCCCCTTTATGTATCTTAGGATTTGCTTTACCGCATTCATGTGTGCAACTGAAGGAACCTCCATATATCTGCTCATTATGCCTACTGAGTAGACAAGGTCAGGACGAGTGTTTACCATGTACCTCAAGCTTCCTATGATACTTCTATAAATGGTGGAGTCTACTGGCATCTCCCCATCATGTTTCCTATATTTGCTTCTTGGTTCCATGGGTATATAACATGGATTACATTCTCTCATTCCCATCTTTTCAAGGATCCTTTTGGCATAGCTGGTTTGACACAGAGTTGTATCCTCTTTTCCTTGCTTTACTTCAATCCCTAGATAGTAGCATAAGAGTCCAAGATCACTCATTTCAAACAAATTCATCATATCCTGCTTGAATTCTTGGATAAGTTTGTTGCTTGAACCTGTGATGATGAGATCATCTACATACACCCCAACAATGATCACCTGTGAGTTTGTGTTCTTCATATACAGTGCATGCTCATATATGCATTTTGAGAAGCTCAAAGATTTCAAACATGTGGGCTGACCAATAATGGCATTTGAAATCTTTCCTGAAATATACACCCCAACAATGATCACCTGTGAGTCTGTGTTCTTCATATACAGTGCATGCTCATATATGAAATCTCATTTGAAATCAAATATAGAACAACGCCGTATACCGATATAATAGTAGCATTTAACATCTTTAACTCCTTGATGAAATCAATTGAGATTGATAACCTCAACACAACGGTTTCGGTTTAACCAACAAAATTAATCCCTCTTAAGTTTATTAACCACGACCGTGCATTAATAAACCGAAGTTACTTACTTGTGAAACCATCAACGATTAACCATCGGTTCGTTGATCGTTTCTAGTAATAATTAATGTCGGAACGTTAACTAATCGTCACTTAGCAACCCTCCAACATTAATATAGAATGAGATTAAGGGAATAATTAATAATCAAGAGGAGAAAGTAAGAAAATAACTCACAACTTTAATAATCAACAAGTTTCAAGAGCAAAACCAAGAAATGGAAGTTTAGCTCCTCATTTTGAGACTAAACATGCTATAAAAATATAAGAAATAACTATTCGATCTAAACTGAGCTTGAGTCTATGGAAGAAGGAATGGTTTTATGTGAAGAAAAAGGGGTGTATTTATAAGGAAATGAAGGTGGCAGGGTCATGTACCCGACGGGGTGTTTGGGGTACCCGATCGGGTACTCAGCTGGTTCCGAGAAGTGAGAAAACGTCATCTGATACCCGACCGGGTGTGTCGGTCTACCCAATCGGGTATGAGATCGGATTTTTCAAATATATTGCTCCCACGATCCTTTGTTTTCGGGATTTGATTTGGACAACGAAATCGGGTCAATACCCGACCGGGTATATGAACGTTTTCCCAAATCAATTTTTGATCTTGTTCCCTTGCACACCTTTTGGTCTTTGGGATCTATTTCTTGATCCTTTGAGTGCTTTCAACCTGTCCTATGCTCAGAATAATCCTAATCTAAACAATTTACACCAATTTAAATAAAACAAAACATTACACCAAAAGTGTGTAATTTCCAAGCTAGTGAATCACAAAACTAATTAAAAACGTACGAATACAAACGGAAATTACACACAAATCAATTAGCCTTATAATATGTTTTAAAAAGATAGTCGGATGTACGCTAAAATCAGGGTTTCGAGGTTGTCAAAAGGTCGTTATGACTCATTTGATTGTTTTTTATAAGTAGACGTATTTGTATGGCACTTTATTAAGTACACGACCTGATGTGACGTTTTCGTAATACTCCCTCCGTCCCTAATAAAACTACCAAATAGGTTGGGCACACAATTTAAGATAGTGGGTATTGTGTGGTGGAGAGTTGTGCAGAGGAGAGAGAAATGTGTAAGAAATGTTGTGAACCACAAAATCTTTACCAAAAGGGAAAGTGGAAGTTTTATTTGGGACGGACGAAAAAGGAAAGTTTGAAGTTTTTTTAGGGACGGAGGCAGTAGTAGAAGACCTTATTTGACCATTTTCTCTTTTATTAGAGTAATGAAGTTACTATGAAATCCAAACACACGCAAAACGTCATAAACAAAGTTGTAGGAAACTCCACTACAATAAAATTGCTTAATGGAGGCATTACAAAATTGCCTCTAAAAATAGGAAAGTAGCCTCTAATGCTTTTTTGAGGCAACTTAGTGGTTGCCAACAAATAATCCGTCGCTAAATGATGGTTGTCTCTAAAAACCCTCTTTAGAGGCAAAAAAATGTATGCTTCTAAAAAGATATATTTAGAAGCAACCATAGCCTTTTGCCTCAAAATGTCATTAGAGGCAACTATTTTTAATGACTCAAGATGTTATTAGAGGCACTATTATCTACCACTCCTAAAAACCATGAGATGCAACTTTAAATGTTGTCGTGGATGATTTTTAGAGGCAACCTTAATGCTAAAGTACACAATATACCAGTTCGTGACAATTTTATTAATTTGTACTGATTTAGTAATCCATTGATGCCCAATTCCACATACTTCTAAATATTAAAATTACACTAATATTGACAAAAAAATATCAATATAAATTTTTATTTAATAATTGATTGATGTAAGTTTGGAACTACAAATATAATATGTTACAACATGCTACATTGCTACCCAGTTCCATCTACCATGAATTTGTGTAAAACTAAACGAACTAAAGCTAATAAAACATGAAGATGTAATGGCATTATAAAAGTTGAAGGATAGCACAGAAGATCATTCTTCTTCATCATCGTACTTTACACATTTCTCATCATCACCATCATCAATAACTTGTTCCTTTGTTATGTTCGTTCCAATCTGTCATATTGCAATGAAATTGTATATAAGTATTTTAACAAATTTAAAAAGTTATTGACAAAAATAATGAAATAGCAAACTGATGAGATACCTCATCGCAATCAATTTAGAAATTCACTTCCCATAAGGTTAACGAATTTCTCCTATATCACGTTGGTCTACAAGCTTTTCTAATTTTGGCTACAAAAGATGTTATATGCAATAAGTTTACCAACAAAAAATTATATATAATATGCAATTGTAGCTTGTATATTTATTCTGGTAAATAATTTGCAACTAGGCTGCTAATTCTGCAAATTCTGGTAAATATTTACATATTTGTAGCTAGGCTGCAAATTCTTTTCAGCATAAAAATATGATATATGCATCTGAGCATAAAAATAAACAATCCAGTAAACAAAACGCAGCTCACACTTGTATATTTAAGCCAATAAACAATATATCAGTAACTACTATAATGAGATGGCAAGTATCTGATAAGCAATGTGCAACTAAAATTGCACTACTAATTGGTACTGCAGAACAAACTTCGAATAAAATGCAGTTTACAAAGACTGACTTCTAAACAAATTGCTTCATGAGAGAGACATGGCACTACAGATTTGAACAATGTCTTAGCATTCCTTGAGTAATAATGATTGCTCACACAACATGCATGCCTTTAAATTAAATTAAATGATAAAAAAAGAATGTATATCTAACAGAATGTTTGACCATAAACCAAAACAAAAAAAACACTTTCATAAAAATATAGTAACTCTGTAAAATACTCCGTAATTAATGTTTGCTCAAAGAGAAATAAAATACATAAAGTTCGTGACACAGTTTCAATTGCTTCTGCTTTAACTTCATACAAACAATGTTGAGTACTGAGCTACTACATTAATTGATTGACTAGTAAATACCATTATTGATTATGAACTCAACTATAATGCTAACATAATTATATTGAAAAATAGATCAAAACCCAGTAGGAATATAATATAAAACCTAAAGTCGAACCCCAATGACAATATGAAACCATAACAACTCTAAACTAGGAGTAATATATTTTGATAACTAAATGTTAGGACAATATATTCCAGAATATCCGTATGAGCCTTTTGATATCGAAAATCACACAAGTTCTCACACTTACCCCTTCAACAATTTAGTCACAACCTGCTCTTCTAAGAGTTAGCATTGTTCTGTTCAGACACAATCTGCCAAAAAATTATGAATCAACACATTGATAAATTATCTCGGTACTACAAACTATCAATTCGAGTGCAATGCTTCGTCCAAACACAAAG